ATTTGGACTATCACGAAGAAGAGATATTTCAAAGATTCTATACAAGCCACAAATTGTCGGACGGTTTTGATCTTATCTCTACCGATTTATCACTTAATTATAAAGTTGTATGATTCACCGAATTCTAACTAATGTTATCCACTCCTTATCTTTCAGCTAATGGAAGAATTCAAACGTGCCCATCAGAAAATGTTCAACCAAAATCAACAAAAGATTCAATCATCAGAACAAGACCAAAAAAAGGTAAATCTCCCATTGATTTGAAAGAGTAGCATTTTTTTTTATCAATTTAATCAACATCCTCCTTAATTATATCAACTCGGTCAAGGAACACGAGACAGTTCGATAAGCTACCGCTAACGTCTCCATCCAGAAGAAATAGAAAAAAAAACAAAATCGTAAATTTCTCCACTTGACAAGTCCAACCGCAATTACCATTATTACCGATACTCCGGGAAAATTCAGTCCAAGGACGGTGGAAAACTTATGCAACGAGGAAATCCTTCTAGAGGCTCAGTAAAATAATAAAAAACGAAAAATCCGTAAACAGACTATCTGATCTCAAGTGATAGCGTTTAAATGCGTCTGCGTGGTAACAAGTGCATTGGCTTTACGCTAAATTGTATAATAGGAGACAACGGACCGTTGAATTGAAAAGAAAAACTTTCACTGGTTTTTCATTTCTTTCATTGAAATAGTGCCGATGATTTTGCGGTATCGCGTGGAATTTCCCAGGCCAAGGCGAAAGGTTTATTTATTATTTTCTCTCCCGCGAAATTGAAGTGCACGAACATTTCTCATAATGAAGAGAATAAGTAGAATAAATAATATAATTTCCGGGAAATTATATAGAGAATAAGAAAAATTTTCTCTCTTAACCCTTCAACGAAAAATGTACAAGAAAATGAACAGTATAAACGGATGATAAATTTTATTGCAAATGAAATTCAAAAGACCATCGCGTCATCAGGTGATAACGTGAGGCATTATGCCTTATCACCAGCACCAGTGATGAGGAAAATATCTGACGAGTTGTTTGTACTTTAGGTGTGTAAGTTGCCACATGCATTCTGTGGGCTACACCTACGGATTAAATTCCTACTGACACATACCATTGTTGTGTATCAAATGTACATAAGAATCAAACGAGATAGTGAAATTAACACCTTATAGTTATATTCCCGACATTCGTGCCGCCAGTCTGTATCCTGTACTAGATCAATTCACCTCGGTACTTTAATTGATCATAATTTTCAGCAATTACAACATTCCAAGTTATTTATATTCTTCAAAAAATTATAACTTGAACATGAAAAAAAGTAAATGTATATCTCGTTTAAATAATTCTGTGCTGAATTTATTTGGCGAATTTTATTATAATTGAAAGGCAGTCGTGAAATTGGAAAGTGCAAATCTAGTTGGTGTGCCATAATTAATTAACGAATTGAGACATGGTGTGACCGAAGGGGGAGTGGGAGAGACATGTGATCGATTCTCATGACCAAAGTCATATTCAGTCATGTGAGATAACTGGGTTTCGTGTAATGTACGCAGATTTGGTATTTTTTTTTCTGTCGCTTCGTTGGGTTTCTCGAGACTCTCGTTGACAGATGTAAAAAAATAATAGACAGATTACGTAAGTTGCCAGTGTCTCGGGAAAGATCGCCGGTGACTTTCCTTGAGTTCGCCCGACAGTTGCAATTGATATTTGTTCTGGACAAGTTTGTTATGCGGAAAATTGAGCATTTTGACTTCCAGTGTTTTTCATAATTCTAATTACTTACAGCTCGATAGATAAAAAAAATATCGGAACAATTGAGATCATCGCGTTTTGGATTCTTTATTGTTACGTCTTGTGCGTGTATTGAGCAGGAAAAGTCTGAAATATAGTTTTTATGGAATGATAAGTCTCGAGTGAAATCGTCACGCTCGACTTGGGTGATGAATCTTTTGAGGTAGTGAGAGTGAACTTTCCGTTGCAGTTTGTAGACATAAATCGGTGGATAAAACATTATTATAGTGCATAAACCGGAATCAGTCATCGAGTGTGAACTAAATCTACCGGAAAATGACAATGTGAATTGCAGATTTTTCACGTGGAGATTGAATAGAACTTGTCAGCTTTCATGATGAATGGGAGACAGGGAAATCAAGGGAGACGAGTGCTGGTGACCATTACTCCTTACACTGTCAGTAGAACACGAGAAGAATTTTTCATTTACCAACTTTCAATTTTTTTTTTCTTCTGTTATAAATGTTTGAACATAAAATGCAGCTTTTCTGCTTATTTCTCATTCCTGACATCATTGTATAATTGATTGGAGAAGTTAATTACCAACGAGTTGGAAAGGTTGAATTTCTCGGGAGATTTTTTGCCTAAGTATGAAGAGGTCGACAAAAAAACTTCTTATGGACGTTACGATATTCACATTTTCTATGATTTGCCATGAAAAAAGTTACAGGCGAATTAATTAATCTTCTTCGCCGAGCAATTAATCCTGTAATAAACTTGTAGAACGAAGTAACTCAAGTTAACTCTTCGGTGGTATTTTCCGTAATATTTTCAAGACCAAAGGAGATGGTAAAATTTTTGTAATAACCTTTTTTGGAGCTCTCAATTAACTCTTTAAAAAAGTTATGAACAAAAATTTAATTATCTCCTTCACTTCCCGAGATATTTCCCAAAAATCCACTGAATAGGTAAGTCAACTTATTTCGCGTCCAGTGCTGCACTGCGGGAACAGAAAATTCAGACATAAAATTCGCTCTAGAATTGCGGAAAAGATATTCTCGAATAACTTTCGTCGTGAACAGAATTAATTGACATCGACCAATCCCGCAATTTCAAGATAGAATTACTTTCAGGAGCAGGAGAAGCGGATAAACGGATCAAGTGGTGGTTGCCCACCTCCACCACCTCTTCCCCTTCCCGAATCGCCGACAAAGTCACGTGAAGACGCAGTGGAGATGCAGAGCATCGAGTCCTTCAAGCTGAAAGAGACTCCTAGTCCAGTAATTCCTAAACCACCGCCCACATACTTTTCATCGTCGAACAACACCTCGCCAACGTCAACCCCGACAAACGGTTCTCCACGTCACACAACGATCACCAAACAACCGCATCTCAACGGTAATAAGGATTCTGTAAATAATAAGTATCAAGTGCCAATGGAGAAAAAGAATTTTGTGAAAATTCAAAATTCCAATGGGCCAGTCACAGCCAATCCACCGGGAAAAGTTGCTGTGAGAATTGGAACATATGAGGGGGAGACGAAGCAGCCGTCCAGACTTGAATTTTTACCACAGGGTAGAAGTACTACAGATACAGGGAAGCCTGTTGAGGAAGTTAGTAATGGGCCGGCGGTTTCAAGGCTTCAGAATGAACTCGCTGCTACACTGCAACGATCCAATCTCAGAGAGAAGACTGAACAGGTGAGGACAATCATCAAATCAATGAAACCACATTTTTACGTATTTTATTAAAAGTCGTATCACCAAATTGTCATCTTAAAACTAATATACAGAATCCATTAATAACTCGTCAGCAATCTACACCTAATCCTACTAACATGTAAAACTAATTTACCTAAGCTGAGTAGTCATCCTCTTCGCCTCGACTTTTGATTGAGGTCCAGAGTGTCCAGCATTTTTTGGAGCAGTCCTTCCTGAAAAAATCCCAGCAGCCCCAAATGTGAAAACAACTGGGGCAGGGACACCATGAAGCTCTCTCCTATCACTTCGATAGGACTTCAGTCGTTTCAATGCTGAAAATCTCGTGCATTGATCAAAACCATACGCTAACCTTTTCTCCTTCCTGAGGTGACGTCTGGCGGTGGCTCTCAGGTGAGAATCACCTCGACAGACATAAAACCATTCCTTGGAGACTCGAGCTGCATTCAGAAGTGAATTGGGGTCTAACATCCTGAAAATAGAATGTGTCACTTCTACTGGTAGATTGGCAATTGGATCCAAGTTGGGCTTGCCAAGACCGAAAAGGCTTATGAGATTGCCGAACAATTTCATGCTCCTCGCTAGCATGTCACTGGAAGAATCGACGAATGATCTGCTACGCAGGGATCCAGGCCCTTTATACCTGCACGCCCCTCTCCTATCCCTACTCTATCCTCTCCCCCTTCCCCAAATTTTGTTGACCAATCACAGCTCTGTATTATCTGGATAGACCATCCGTACGGCCAAAGCTCCTCCATAATAATCCATATAAGAAAACCGATTGTAAATGAATTCTGCAAATTTAAATGAATGAATTATTGTAGAGGAATGCCCGTCTGAACGATTATCACAATAATATCACACATTCTAGTGAAAGCATTTGGCAATCATTTAATTTCAACTGATTTATTGTTTTCTCAATTGAGAGGGTATTGCATTATTTCTTGATTTTGAATTTTTTTTAGAATTTTTTTTTGGTGTTTCAGAATTAAAAAAAACAATGATAAGTATTTCTTTGCATTGGAAAGAGTATAAGTGAGACAGATTGAGCTCATAAACAATATAAATATAGATAACCTAAATTCGTCGGGCTGGATTACCCATTCCTAATTTAGGTTATGAGGGGGCAGTCTATTCAGTTAGTACAGAGATGAGTGAAGAGCCTTTCATCAGCCATCAAACTTTTCTGCTATTAATCATCATCTTTTAATGAAAAATTTCGGTGCATTGATTTTGTAATTGGAATTTTCAGGAAAACGGGGGAATCCCCCAAGCATCATCAAGTCCAGACGTTGAGCGTCCAGTGACACTTCTCCAGAGTAACGTAGAGAAGCTAGCAGCAGCTTTAGCCAACAGAGTAACAATCAGAGTCAGCCCCGAGAATGGCTCACGATAAGGCGCTTATCATTGCTCAAACAATCAGCGAGACAGTCAACATTGATAAAACACTGTAATTTAAGAGGTTTATACTCAAATTTTCAATATATCTCTGCGATTAATTAGAGAAATATCCAATAGCCGTGGTGAATTCACCACTGAGAGCTTTCAAAAAAAAAAAATCCAGTGTAGTACAGAAAAATCTTTTACAAGAGGAAAGTATAGTCATAGTAATTCACAATGGTGGCTGAATTTTTTTGATGATACATATACACAAGTATCTAGATGTACTATAGACATACTGTATGAGGTAGGTTAATCTCGTTACCCAAGATATACAATATTGAGTCAAGATTATGGGGAGAGGCAAATCTGCGCTCTCCATACAATGCATAATCTTATCGTCGTTGTAAATTTTTTTACACCAAAATTTGGTACTATCTTTTTGCGCTGTTGCGTGACTACGAGACCATTTACTGTTATTCATTAGTTTTTCTTATTTCATTTTTATACACCATGTGAATTTAAGGATAAAAACGTGTTTTTACAGTATTTATTGCCAACAACTAACAAGATATATGTATCTTGTAATATATTGTAATGATTAAGTTAGTTGTACACTTAAAATATATAAATTTTAAGGCCTTGGCACAGAGTTGACTCATCTAGAATCATCGTCATTATTATTCCAAGGAACTGCTTAATTGTACATCTTAATCATTGCCCATCCGTAGGACAATTATTCGAGATGGAAAATAAAGAGACATTAGATTTATCACGAGAACTGCTTACTTCAGGCAATTCTTTCCAACCTTTTTACATTTTTATTCCCATGAATAATCTTTTGATACTTATTTTTTATTTGTTTGATAATTCTTTATCAATGCCAGGATTATTGGACTTTCTGTCGAAATCTCGTGAGTCTTTATCGTCAAATGGACCACAATAGGATTAAAAAATTACTTTCTTCTGAGTACGATGATTTTTATGAGAAAATCATCATTGAATCGCCCTTTGCTGAGACTACGAGGGACGGACGGGGAATCAGGGAAGTGACCATTGCCCTGAGTTCGTCCAAACTGATTATTGCCTCTGATATATTCCGGAAAAATCAGGGGTTCACATGTTTGCGAGGGGTTGATCCCAGCATTGAGTGCTTTGAACTTGTTTCTGTTTATCCCTTGGAGTTTGTTAGTTTGAGTATTTTCAGAAGAAGAATGAGAAAGACATTGAAGGCCAGGTGGGTAAGGCGCTTTAGATATTTTTCCTCATTTTCCATTTTGGAACTTAACGTAATATATGCCGTGTCACTCCTGATTTTTAATAAAACAGTGAATGCGTAGACTATAAAACGCAATAAAATACAAGAATAAGTGCCATAATTTCAGATTGATCAACGGCCGAGTAACGTACTACGAGCTAGGCGGCATTTATCACCGTAAATCCCGGTGGAGCCTCTGGTGTAGTCAGATCGAGGTTCTTCAACTGCAAAAAGAGAACGGAAGTTCTCTGTCGGAAACCACTGCAGCGAGTTCCTCAAGCTCCACCACTCCATACATTTTGTCGTCCGACGGGGATTCCCAGTCTGTCCCGAAGAATTCAGGGAATCCCCGAATTTGTTCCCTGTGGACGTACAACGGTGAAAGCCAAGATCTGCCTCCCTCGTGGCCTCGCAAGGACATTTACCTCGGCCCGACCTACAACGAACTCGGACACGGTCTCTACGCCCCAATTCCCGTACGTTTCGCCGGTGCTAGTTTCAATGACCTCCAAATTCAATACGAACTGCGCCCAGTGTCCCTCGTTCCACCGCCCCAGAAGTCCAACCATAGCTGGCCACCATTGAAAGTGTCAAACACTAAACTAAAATACCAAAACCACAAAAATACTGATCTCTGTGACGTTCTCTACGTTCACAGGCAATTCGCCAAGCCTCAGAAATCACTTTCCTCCACTTCTCAGGTCCCATCTCACCGCTCTTCTCACCCTGGCCACGGAGACTGTGGAGATTCCAATAGAAATTCCAAAACCAACTGGAACCGAAAGGAACATCGAGAATCCAATCACACACTTGTTCCAAAATTATCGAGATTCGGATTTGGCATCCACGAAAACTGCTCTTCTGGGCTGTACCTAGCACCTCACGAAGGTGATCCAGATCACCTCGTGAAGATAAAGCCCGCTTACAAGCTGATGGATCCCTACAGATTAATTGAGAGTGGAGTAGAGATCTGGGAGAGAGCGAAATCCATTCAGTCAAACATCGACTCTCGACATTCGTTAAAATCCTTCAGAAGATACGGATTAGCCACTTGTCCTCATTTGTTCTTCGGGTTGGGTCCTTGGTCTGTGAATTCCGGAGATAAAATTTCATTTCAGAAGAGATCGTCAAGTCTTGTAAGGATTCGGAGACAACCGGTTGATAATGAGATGAAGCTTGCTGTTTCTAAAAAACATTTGTGCACTAGTGTATCGATGTCTTCTCTGGAGCCTGAGATGTCGACATCAGGTGCCAACACGCGAGGGAAAATTGTCATGTTCTGGACACCCGATTACTGGTATAGGCCGAGAGCTGCAACTGCAGTCTATAAAGAATTGAGGAATCACTTGACATGTCTCCACAATTTTCATTCTGACAGGGAAAAGAATTCTAAACGATCTTTCTTCTTGAGAAGAAAATCTTCCTCGACTGGGTGCCGAGTGGAGAGGGTGAAGTCGTACAATAAGAGTAATTCTATTTTAAACAAGATATTTTCAAGTCGAGACTTGAGACACAAAAAACATCTGAGGAAGTCTGAAGAGGACAGGACAGTGAATCAGCTGAGACGATTATTGAAACCGAATTTCAAGACTACAATCTGGGACCTAGACAGCACGACGTTGGCGAAACAACTGACATTAATTGACAGAGATTTATTCTTGAGGATTCCCTTGTCCGAAATCGAGATAATAATATTCCAGAAGTCTTCAAAAAACGCTCCAAATATTGGAGCTTGGATGGCCTTCAGTCATCGAATTTCATCTCTAACTTCGAGTGAGATTCTGATGATCAAGAAATTGGAAATGAGGACGAGGATGTTGGCAAGGTTCATCAACTCTGCTAACAAATGCTTCTCGATGGGTAATTTCAATTCCTGCAGATCGATTATCGCGGGTCTCCAAAGTCCACCGATTTATAGATTGAGGTCGACATGGAGTTATTTGAAAACTCATCACGCCACGAGATACGAGACCTTCACAAGATTATGCAGGGTTTTTAAGAATTGCAGAATCGATGTCTACATCCGTGCCTGGGAAACGGTTATGATTCGTCCCCCAGTGCTTCCCTATATCGGCCATGTGCTGACAAGAATTCTAGGACTCGACATTGATGAAGAGATTGCGCGAGAAGAAACGCCGAGGCGTTGGACTCAGAAGAACTACGACTGCGGTTGCACATACTTATATCAAGCATCCGAAGAGGAAAAATGCGTGAAGAACCAGTTGACACGTCACACGATTTCATCCATGAAGAGTAAATCTCAGGGCTTGGTGAGGAGAATTCTGTCAAACACAGTGGGAAGAATCATTCAGGGAAGAGGTTTAGCTGGTCCAGAGAAATTTGATGTCTTCTGGGCAGCGAAGCAGCTGATGGTTGCGAGGAAATTTTTTGACCAATGGCAGGCTCAAGTTCTGACGATGAAAATCATCAAAGAGTACGAGATAAAACGTCGAAATGTGGATTGGAGGAGGAAGCGAGGACAGGAGGTCGGAATATGGATCAGTAATTGCCAGAGGCTTGCGAGGGACTACCAGTTTCCTGGGCACTCCTTGGCTTGGGAATTTCTGTTAAAAGCTAGGTACAAGGAGGATAAGGAGAACTTTTGGATTAGCTTGAAGCTCGAGCCACCACTAGGATGATACAAATGGATTTAACCAATGAAACTGAAACTACTATCGAGATATTTCGGTGAAGAGCTGGTGAAGCTGAACATCATTGTGTGAGATTCAGAGATAATGTCTTTCTTTCTTCACAGTGTCAACAATTCCAAGATAATAATTCAGAATTTAATCTGTAATTGAATTGGTAAAGATTCTTTATCATCAGTAATCTAAAAATAAAATAGATTAGACTAAAATTCTGTACCATTTTATCAATTGAAAATTATGAAGCTAGTGTGTAATTAAAGCTAAAGTTCTTCTGCTTTTGATTTTATTTGTCTGATTGATTGGACAGAGAGTAAATTCGTGATTGATTGACAGCAAGGACTTTAATAAGTGCATAGTAATTTCATTGCCTATCTGGGAATTAATTTTTCATATTCTAAAGAACCTCGCTGCATACAGTTTGAGGAGATTGAAAAATCGGTATGCAACAATGCAGGAAGGATTTAAATATAAAAAAACAATTAGGATAACGAACGCATTGAATGATACCCGAGCTTCATGATGTTTTTTCGCACGTGACATGCATTACTTTTATTGAATTGCAATGAGTATTGGGATTGAAGATAATATCGTGATTTCTTCGAACTGTTTTTTTCATCGTAAATTTGTCATTCATTGCTTATATTTACGTGATGATATTTTCATAACAAAACTGAACAGCACGCGGCAGTTCAACAATCACTGAGAGACATATTTTCTTGAAAGTCACGTCTTCCAATCCAAAGTATCCCTTACGAATTGTATAAAGATGTGGGAGACAAGTTTGTTCATGATTAAAATTTCAAGTGTTTCAAGAACTCAATTTCCTGCAGTTCAATTTAGTAGGGCTATCAACGATCTTCGGTTTTTCCAGCAGAGTGTGCAACACTCATAATCTCCGGTAATTTTTATTTTCATTCCTAATACAATAATTTAAACGAGCACTTCGCTGAAATGACCCGAGAGTTTGTGCGAATTCAAGAGTTCCTTCAACTTTAAAAGAATATTGAAGAGTATTCTAAATGTTTCTAAACATTTTCCTTTCATGACTTCAGATTATCATGAAAATGGCGGCCGACCGTATGCTGAGGATTTTTCTACTGCTTTCGTGCATCAGTATTTGCGCTGTATCATGTTATCGCCCCATAAATATAAATTTCCGCCGGGTTGCCACTAGTAGTCGTTTACAGGCGTCAGAGACGCCTAAGCAGGAAGAGAAATTGGATAATAATGATCATGGCAACAATAGTCGTTTTGCATATCATAAAAGTTATGGTCCGATTTTTGGACAGCCGCTGCAGCGAGATTACCAAGTTATTACGATTATTACGATGATAGTTCAGAAATATCTATGTAAACATCTCCTCGCAATTAGTGGATTAATATAAATGCCATGAAAATCTAAGAAAATTGGGTTTTAATATTAAATGATAAGATTTTTTAATGAACCTTTGAATTTTCTACATTTTCAGTTTTCCCAATGTAAGATGGCTCTGAAAATTGAGAATTATTATAGTATATTTGAGAAATTAATTAATTAATCAATAAGACGGAAAATGTTAAGAAGAATTGACATGACTGTTTATAGAGGTTGCATTATACGTCGAGAGAAGAGGGACTTGTTCCCAGAACAAATTGATGATTCTAAATAAAACCAATTTATTATCGAATTTCACATTAATCCTTCATCCATTTATGCTGCGCACACTACATTTACTTGAAAAATACGATCTAATCGTAAAACATGAGCCTTATCACGGAACAATACGACGCCGTTACCTTTACGATATTCTTGAAATTGTCCATATTCATGCGATAAAATTTACCGCAGGTCAGATGAAATGGATCATTCAATTTCCTCAAGATGAAGCTCACATCCCTCATGGATTGTTTCGATAGTGTGTACCATGGTGAGCTGTAAACCTTATCTCGTAAATTCTCCATTTGATTCGTCAGCTTTTCACCCGCATAACAGTACACGAATAATTGCACGTAGATTATCATTAATTCAAACACTGCCTTTATTACCATTGCGATATTCTGGTAGTACCACGCGACGAATGTGTTGAGAACTGAGAAAATAATTATTTTAAAATAATTATCAGTGGTTAAATGAAAGCTGCCGCAATTTTATTTCATTTTCCAACTCGTACTTCAATAAAATTCGACAAAACAACTATCCAATAAATTGTTGTTAATTTTAGAAATGTATTTGTGATGCCAAAGGCTTTCTATTGGATAATTCCGCAGATAAATTTCACGTGCACTTACGTAGAATTGTAACCAGTCCAAGATACAATACCATATGTATCAGTATGATAATGTTGAATGTTCTTTCGAAGAGATTACATAAATTAAGGAGATGATTATGGCGATTTATGAACTCACGGTAAACTTTCTGGGGATTTGTCGACGGATCAAACATAGTGGCATCCGTACCCATTCCTCTATCAACTTTTAGAATTTCAATTTGTCCGCACATATGACTGAGAATTATGAACAGGGAGACATCGAATCCCATGTTACTCAGACTTCCCACAATTTGTTGTACGCAAGTTGCGAAGTAAACGATGAGAAATATTTGGTTCGATGTGTTTGGTGGCAACCAACAGCCGCTGCCCCACGGCAAATTCCTGTCTATTGTATCATTTTCCAAGAGATTTTGATTCAAGATGAAGAATGGAAAATGAGATATTGTCGTGTATGTTAATAACATGCACAAGCTCGTTATCTCAAGGATGAATATAAATCTGCCGATTGCCACCCACTCCATCATAGTCTTGCGGGCTGCGGTATCAATATTCCTTGACCAATCCTCAACAGCTGACTCTAGTATTTCTTTCATATTTCTCCAGTAATACCTGGGCAATATGATTTTAGCAATTGCCACTGGGTACGATAGAACTCCCACTATGGATTCTATTATTTCTTCCGTTTTACCACAACCGGATATCAGATCTATTGCTTGCTCGTACAGCATAATCCACTGAAAATTATCAAATAATAATTTTATGTTAAATCTATTGCGCAAATTATTTGGAATTGTAACTTACGTTTATTGTCAGAACGACGATCATTCGAATTGTGGAAAATATCTCGTGACACTCCAAGGGATATATTCCTAATACTCGATTGATTAATTTGTAAAAACCCAGATCGTATTCTGCGTTGGAATTCCATTTGCCCGTCATACTGATTTTAATTGACTGATGGAAACGTTCGCGAGATTAATAGGAATAATTCTCCGGCGATTTCTCTTCATTCCGGAGAATCGCACGGTGAGTGAAGTTTCATCGCATCCTCGGCATCGAATGAACGCTATTTTTGGGAAATAAAAATAGCAGCTATCGTGGACTATCGCTGGAAGACAAGTGCAATTATGCGTACACCGGGTGGAATTGCGCATGATCATCGAAGAACCGATCATCACGATGAAAGGATTAAGAATTTATATCGTATTGTACCTAGTCATTATGTTTCCCTGCACTCATGAATCGAGAGAATAAGTTATTGAGACATTTCATTTTCTTTCTTGGTAATAGACGTTATAGATAATTATAGAGAGATGATAAAATGTCGAAATAACGGACTAGTGCATGGACAAGAACTTGATGAAGATATTAATTTTATATTCGACATCACAGAGTATTTCCTACCGGACTTCCGTTTTTCATTGTTCGTCTCCTCTACTCGTTCGTTCTCATTGAAATTGTTGAGCAGTATGAAGTTTTTGGAATTACCGAAGGAATTAGATCGAATAAGAAAATATAAGAATATTCGGAATTTATAATTTTCATTAAAAAAATCCTGAAGTGAATATTATTTGTCAGTGCTGCGGTAAATGAAATTCATTCATCAACACCAGTAACAATCAGTAATATATTGAATTTTAAAGTCATTATGTAAAATTGCAAAAAAAAAATACAGATTAGAGAGTAACCAGCGATTGATGTTGAAGTTTTCACTTAGGAAAATGCTCGTACGATGTGTTTCCTCAATTCCATTATTGGCCGATGGACATCAGCCCCACTTTCACCGAAGGCTCGTCTACCCAAGAGACTTGCCACCAGCTGGCCATGCAGATGCCGAGCTACATGTATATTTAGTGATAATAGGTAATGATATTGAATTGAAACAAATATATTGTAAATATATTCACAATTATATCTATTACATTCTCATTGCGATTGCAATCCCTGATTACACCTGCGATACAATACTTTTTCATTTTATTTTAGTGTGCATTTACAATTATATTTTTTAAATTCACATGGCGAGATAGTATCCATCATTAGAATTTCAGTGATATGTCTTGATATTTACTGATAATAGCATGTAGATGCAGATGTGTATGCATGATGATAATGACTTGAAAAGTAGCGCTCCGAATATCGCGCTGCCTCTCTGCGTCAGTTCTGGGAATTTTAATGCGCAGTAATCCTCCACGTTGTCATCATTCAGCCAATGGAGAACGAGGTAAATACTGGGGACCATCAGCTCACTGGTCGATTCCCCTAGACGCCAACCGGTTCCCCGAGAAAGTCGATGCTGAGTAGTTTTTGACACTCTCGGTCAATCCTAGTTATCCTTGACTGTAGTCAGTAGTTAAGGTTAATCTGCAGGTCACCAACAATCAATTGAAGCCGTGGGTTATCAGTGTATAACTATGGCTTCAGCCGCTCTTCACTCCACTCGGTTCAGTGAGTACTTTAATTAATATAATGTGTCAAATATTACGAGTCATCGCGTTTTTCTTATATCATGACAACAATTGAAAATTCAAATTGCTGATTATCGATTGCT